AACATTTAAAAATTTTATTGAAGCATTAAAATAATTTTATAAAAAGGTTTTAGAATTTTAAATATCAAGATATTTCAATTTTTTATTTGTCAAAAATTAAAGGTTTATTAATTGTAATTACTTTTCTATATAATAAAAATTAATTTTTTTTATAAACATAGGCACTTATAAAAATACTCCTTAAAAAAATAAATTTTTTTCCAAATCACTATCTCAAACCAAACAGTTGTCAAAAGTCCCTGCTTATCGCACCCGCAGCAGTGGCGCAATGGTTGGGTTACTTGGGTACATCTTATGCCATAAATATCATTATAGTTTGAATTCTTATGAGGTAATTTTCCTTTCCGCAATTTCCCTATATTAAAAAAAAAAAAAGTGTCCGCATATCCCTTATCTTGTGTATCAAACGGCTGTCTTTCACCAATGCAAATCTATTAAGATAAAAAGAAGTCAGCGCGTTCCCCAAAGCGCACCCCAGGGTTTCTCTTCGACTTTGATGTTCCTTTCTCAACAATCACGCATCCATTTTGCTGAAAGCCATCCATGGATAAAATCTCTCAATCGATAAAGAAGTTGTTTAGCTTCGAAACTCCTCGTTCAAGTTTATCCCACAAATCTCTCGAATCAAGTCGTCAGTCTGTGGTAAGATTTAACAATTTAATCATCCATTTTCTTAATGGAAAAACCGAAACAGAAGAATGAAAAAAAAAAAGTAGTGGTTAAATTGTATATAGAGGATGACAAACACATACAAAAAGCCATTAAAAATGTCGGTGCAGTTTCAGGTACTTGCGTTCTTTCTATCCTCGTTTTAATCGTGCAAATCTCAGATCTCGAAGCTCGAGAAGCTAAAATTCGATTCCACTTCTTTAATCTGTAGGTTTACACGCAATGGGCATGGACATGGAAGGTAAAAAACTGACGCTAAGTGGATACATTTGATCCGACGATGGTATTAAAGAAATTGAGGGAAGTGTGTCCTGCGGAAATACCATCGGTTAAAATTGCAAGGCCGCCTGAAATTGCACGGATGGGGAAGAAAGAAATGTCTATAAAGGAGGACGAGAAACCAAGGAAAACGGAAGAGGAGAAGATAGTGTCCGAATATCTTGATGAGTTTCCTTCTATGTTAGAATCTCTCAACCATCCCGAAGTGTTGACCGAGATGCCAGAAGGGAATGGGATGCCCAGGAGATCCTTCTTGGGCAAATATCTGTTCTCTCAGAATCTCCCTACTGTCCCGACTGTTGGCCGAGATTCCAACAGAAGAGGAATGGGATGCCCAGGAGATCCGAGCACTTTTTGATGACACATCTGTTCTCTCAGAATCTCCCAACCGTCCCAAAGTGTTGGCCGAGATTCCAAAAGAAGAGTAGTGGGATGCGCAAGAAATCCACGCAATTGTTGATGAGTTATCTGTTCTCCCAGAATCTCCCAAACGTTCCTTTCTTCTTCAACTGTCATTGGAAGGAAGCTATGCTCTGACGTCTATCCCTTCCTCATTCTTCGACCACATGCCTGTCCTCTAACACTTAAATTTGTCCCGTACCAGTATCAAGTCTTTGCCAGCATCTCTTCCCAAGTTGGTTGCACCTAAAACGCTCATTTTAAGGAACTGTCATCTCTTCATGGAACACTCGCCTCAAATTGGAGAACTTCATAATCTTGAGGTGCTTGATCTTGATGAAACTCAAATTTTGTTTCTGCCAAGGAGATTGAAAATTTTTCCAACTTAAATTTTTTGAGAGTGTCCTTTTATGGATATATGAACTGTGGAAAGAGATTGCAACAAAATCCTCTGATTCGTCCAGGGACAATATCAGCTCTCTCTCAGTTGACTACATTAAGCATTGATGTCAATCCAGATGATGAGCGTTGGAATGCAGTTGTTGAAGCAGTTGTAGAGGAAGCCTGCAGCTTGAAAAGGTTGGAGAGTCTAATTTTGTACCTTTCTAATATTGAGAGCTGGGAAAACTCAGAATGGGCAACGCATCACTGAGTTATTATCCCTTGCTCAGGTTCAGGTTTATTGTTGGCCAGCATAGACAACGCAGCATCTCAGGAGTACCAGAAGAAGCTAATTGTCAATTTCAAAAGTTGGACAAATGCTTGAAGTTTGTTAAGGGAAAGGATATCCCAAGTGAAATGAAAACGGTACTTAATTGTACAGAAGCATTCTACTTGGACCGTCATGTCACTGCTAGAAGTTAGTGTGATTTTGGGATTGAGAATATGCGGAAGCTAAAGTTTTGCTTATTGGTGGAATTTAATGAAATCCAAACCATTGTAAGTGGCGTGGAGTCTAACAAAGAACACACTGATATATTGGAATATGGTTCAAACAGTTCTGAATCTGGAGGTGGGTCAACAACTCTTCAGCGTGAAACCCAAACCCTTACAAGGGACACAGAGTCTGATGAAGAACAAGATGATACGTTAGAAGATGATACAAACAATTCTGAATGTGGAGATTGGTCAAATTTTGCTCAACAAGCAGCGCTTTTGAATCTACAGTACTTGCATATCTATTGCCTGAAGAACTTGGTGAACATTTGGAGAACCCAGACCAATGATAAGCAGTGTCTATCTTGCTTGAAGTTCCTTAAACTTCATATGTGCCCCAAATTGAGTGTCATTTTCCATCCCGCTTTGCTTGCTAATCTTGGCATGCTGGAAGTGCTTACTGTAAAAAACTGCCCTGAAGTGACCAGTGTAGTAAGCCTAACGACCAATGAACTTGTTGATCCTCTAGTACACTATCTTCCTAGCTTGAGAAGGATGTCACTACTTTACCTACCAAAACTGGCCAGCATTTCTAGCGGAGTTCAGATCGCACCAAAACTAGAAAAAACAGGTTTTTGCAGTTGTCCAAAGCTTCAGAGTCTTTCTACAAAGGAAATCTCAAGTGGAGAATTGGAAGTGATCAGAGGAGAAAGTAAGTGGTGGGAAGCATTGAAGTGGAACAAATCGGAGTGGGGTAATCAACTTGATTACCTCCAGAGCATTTTTGCCCAATTACAAGGGAGAAAGATGTGATGACACAAATGGAAGAGAGGTAAGTAGAATTCCCTCAAGAGAGCAAACAAGAAGGGTTATTCAATTGCCTTGTAATTTCTCTGTTCAACCCAAGGAATTCTTTTATTTTATCTTATTTTACTAGTATATTTAGGGATCAAATATTTGCAGTCTAATGATTTTATACTCCTTGTAGTCATACAGATTTATATTACTAAAATTTGTTCAGAATATTCTATAATTTTGACACTTTCATTTCCTTTATGCTGATGAGTGGCAGGGTCCTGGACAATATTATGAATCTAGGAACCAGCATACCAGATGCAAAGACATCTTACAGTGCATATTACTCAGATTCTAATTAAGTGAAGTGACAGAGGCAGTGCTGAGATTTAAGCCTCCAAGTCGGCTGCAAGTTTGTTCTGAAAAGCTTGTGTGGCATGTCTTAGGAATTTATGTGATATAGAATTGCTAATCTATATATCAGACATATTTCTAATAGATGTTTCTTAATATGATTCACAAGATTGGCTTTATATTACTGTTCTTGTTGTTACTTTCTTCTTCATGGTCACATACTCCATATTCTGAAACTTCTTCACGGCTAACTTCTAGGTTTAATTCCGTTTACTATTTTTGGTAATTATGAATTTCAAAGGTTATTGATTTTCTTTGTTAGCAAATTTGCTGGCTTGGTATTAATATCAAATGAGAAAATTGGTTATGTTTTCTTGATCTTAAGATACACTTTCCATCAAGTTTGTACATTTTAGAAATTAAATTGAGACCAATATCAAGAATTTGACTAAGTTAGTACCTATTAATTTAAAAATCTTGATTTGAGATTAAAATTAGTGGCTCAAACTTTGGTGTTGCTTAGCAACTGATTCTTTGATGTATTAAAAAAAAGGAAATTAAATTGAGTGTTAGTTCCAAAACTTTAACTTTAAATTTATGGCATATTTAATTAGAAAGTCAATTTATTAGGAAAGTTTTTATTAAAAAAATAATTATGAAAGAATTGTATGGAAAATTGTTAAGTTTAGTGGCAAAGTTTTGTTGAAATTTTATTGGATTATTAATTTTGCTGTATTTAATAAAAAAATTGGTATAGAGAAAGTTAATAGGGAAAGCTGTCAGTCTTCGTCAAGGACTTCAAGCTTGGTGATGATTTTCTGTTCTGTTACGTATTGTAAGGGCATGTTTGGTTGGACAACTTTTTTACCAAAATTTTCTTATAAGATTGTGTAACTATTTTTATATTTTAATATTATAAAAAAAATAAGGTAAAAATATTATTTTTAACCTTTATTTTTCCTAATATAATTTTTAATCAATAAACTTTCATTCTCATATTTTCTTAAAAAAAATATTTTTCCCAACTTTTCATATTTCCTGAACTTTTACCATATGAAACTCATTTAACAATTTTTTATCAACTTTTTATGTATTAATTTTTTACCATATGTAAAAAAATTAATAACTCAACAAAATTTTATTATGAATCTTCCTAATCACATTTTCAATAAAATTACCATCTAACCAAAAAAGTTCCTATGTCTAAGGACCTGTTTAAATGTAGCCGTTGGTTTCTGTTTTAATTTGTTATTTAAATTTAAATAATATTAAATTAAAATTAAAAAAAATTGA